CGGGTGGCCGGGGGCAGACAACCCCCCCCCCCCCCCGGCACCCACACCACAGACACCCCTCTCACCCAGCACATCAAGACACGGGCCAGACGGGACCTCATGTGACTCCCGTCTGTGGCTACAGAAACAGGCCAGACCCACCCAGGAAGTGTGAGGCAGCGGCTGCTCTGGGGGGTGAGGGCTGGTGGCACCAGGTGTTCACCCCAAGGAAGGTCACCATGCAGGAAATGCTTTGCATATTCCGGATGTACATGAAACAGAAACGGCCCCAAAGAAGAGGTGCGACTGGGAACAGAGCTTCACCACTGGGAGCCGAGTGACCTGGGTGGGCGCCTGTCTCCGAGCTGCAGTTTTCCGAGTGGGGGTTCGGACAGCCTGCACCCCAGGAGAGTGTGGGGAGCAGGCCCCACATCGCACCAGTGCCTGCCCTGCCTAAGTCCAAGCTGGCTGCCCAGGGCCTCTGTCCAGGCTGCAGTGAACAGACAGGGCACCTGTGCCACACACTGCAGCTCCCCCTGCCCAGCCACCCCTCCCACTCGCCAGGAAGCCAGCAGGTCGCTATGGCAACCGGAACCAGGGCAGGGAGTGGAGGGGAGGGGTGGGAAGCAGCAGGCCTTGCCGCAGAGCGCTGGCAGCGCGCAGGCGCCAGTGGCCCCAGCTGGCTCAGGCTGCTTCTTCAGCAGACAGGTCTCCCGGGCTCCCCGCTCACGCCTCTGTCCACCCCTGCAGGCCGTCCTCCACACTGCAGCCCCTCGAGTTGTGAAGAATGCCGGCGAGGTGGCTGTCACCTGTCCCCCTGCCTCCGCACCCGATCCTGCGGGCCCACACCTGTGTGGGGCTAGGCCAGCGCTAGTCGTTCACACCTGGCATCTCCCCCTGTGCACGTGCTGGACCGTCCTCTGCCCCGCTGCCCCTTCTCTCACCTACAGCCCTCTGGCCATAAGTCACAGGTCCCTGAACTTCCTTCCCATCAGCCCGTTCTTCCCAACACTGCCACACAGAGGCCCATGTCACGTTTCTGTCTCTGGCATGGGGCTCTCTCAGGCCAGGATCAGTCATTGCTGTGCTCCCGCGCTGGGAGACACCCCACGCTAGAGAACGGGGCATCTACACATGGTTCACGGGGTGGGTGGGACATCCCAGCCTGTCAGCAGCTGGACGGCCACAGGCAGCAGTGCAGCAGCCACCCGCAGGACGGTCCCCTCCTGACGCATCCTCAGTCCCAGAGCCAGGCTGCTCTCTCCCAGAGGAGGCTCTCCCCTTCGCCTTCCCTCCCCTCTAGAAAAGGCTCGTGTGCCCTGCCCTGTGCCCTGCCCTGTGCCCTGTCCTGTGCCCTGCCCTGTGCCCTGCCTGGCTCTCCAGGCACATGCAGACCTGTCCTCTTACCTCTCGCCAACCCTCCTGCCCAGAGCTGTGACCTCACTTGGAACCAGAATTCGAGACATGACAGAGTGCCTCAGACTGCCCGGTCCTCTTAGCGTCTCCAGTGGCAACAGACCGTGGCTGGGGAAAGGCCAACGTTTTGCAAAGACAGTTCTCTTCGGTCTGAACCCCAGCAGGACGGTCGTGTGCTCTGCCCTGTGCCCTGCCCTGTGCCCTGCCCTGTGCCCTGTCCTGTGCCCTGCCCTGTGCCCTGTCCTGTGCCCTGCCCTGTGCCCTGTCCTGTGCCCTGCCCTGTGCCCTGTCCTGTGCCCTGCCCTGTGCCCTGTCCTGTGCCCTGCCCTGTGCCCTGTCCTGTGCCCTGCCCTGTGCCCTGTCCTGTGCCCTGCCCTGTGCCCTGTCCTGTGCCCTGCCCTGTGCCCTGCCTGGCTCTCCAGGCACATGCAGACCTGTCCTCTTACCTCTCGCCAACCCTCCTGCCCAGAGCTGTGACCTCACTTGGAACCAGAATTCGAGACATGACAGAGTGCCTCAGACTGCCCGGTCCTCTTAGCGTCTCCAGTGGCAACAGACCGTGGCTGGGGAAAGGCCAACGTTTTGCAAAGACAGTTCTCTTCGGTCTGAACCCCAGCAGGACGGCAGACCAGGGCCGCTGGGGAGAGCCCAAGTCCTCCGCCCTGCTGCCCCCTGGCTGCTCACCTCGGGCAAAGGCTCGCCTTCGAGTATGGGATTCTTCCCGAGTCGTGGGTGGCAGAAGCACCTATACTCAGCACGGTGCTGAGGTCAGGGGGCAGGAGTGCCTACAATGGCATCAGCGCACACTGGGGCTCCCTGAGGACTAGCTAGCCACCTCCCTGCCCAGGGCACTGTGTGGGCGCAGCAACCCCAGACATCCCGGGGTCCACATAGGAGGGCCCTAACCTTGTGGAGCACCTGTCCTAAGCCCCTTTTAGCAAAAGCTGAGCGCCAGAAAGTGACCAAGTCACAGAGCAAATGAAGTCAAGGAGGAGGCAGAGATAACACTGGGGCTGGTCCAGAAAGCTGGTCTCCCAGCTGCACACCCGGACGGGGTGCGGGTGCTCAGGACCCAGCCAGGGGTCGGGCTCCAAGGATGCTCAGCTCCCGGCAGACTTGACTTCTCTGCCCCTCCCTGCTCTGCCCAAGAGTAGCTCCAGTCCCTGCCCATCCACGGCTGAAACCGCTTTTTCAGGCCTCCACACCCACTACCAGATGTGCCGGGCCCTTCCCTTCAGAACTGGGACCCCCTTCCTTCACTCCCCTCTGGGCTCTTCCCCCACCTCTCCAGTGGCTGCTCTGGGCACCTGCTGGGCCCTCCCACGTCCTGCCAGCTCAGGGCTCAAGGCCAGCATGCTGGGGCCTGTGAACAAGGCGTCATCCCTGCAACTGACACATGGGTGGTGCTCCCGCCTCTGTGTTCGGGCTCAAAGGACTGGCTCACTGTGCGGGTCACAGGTAACAGGCCCGGCCTAGGGTCCTGGGTGCCCAGGGCCTGGGGGAGCCAGACAGGCTGTGAGCTCCAGACTGGGTCCACAACCCTCTGAGATTTCCTTTGGAAAGGAAAAAGGGCAATTTCCATGTTTGGCATATGGGTTCCTTAAACACTGAGCTTCTGAAAACCAGAGAAAGCAGCATACGGAACTTCTCTACTCCTCCACGCACTTGAACCTAGTTGCTGAGACACCTAGGGGGGGCGTCACGTCCACGTCACCTCTGGGCCCTGCTTCCTCAGCTGTAACACGGGGTAATGACACCTGCCCAGTGGAGTCCATGGGCGTTCACGAGGAGACCGAGAAGCACGCAGCTCAGCATGGCGTCCGGAACTCGGTAAAGGCTCCCTCCCTAAGGCAGGGGTGTCCCTGCCATCGGCATCACCAGGCCAGGTCACCCTGCCCCAGGCCAGGCAGTGTTCTGGACTCTGGGTCAGGCCTTTGCTCTGCTCTTCACTTACTCATTCTACGAGAGGCTGGCCAAATCCGCAGGCCTGTGAGCCTCGGCTTCCGGAAGGCTGCCACAGTGACAAGCACCTGTCCGGGGTCACAGTGAAGAGTGATGTACCAGGACCAGCGGTTAGCGTAATGGCTATGTTGCTGGACTCCCATATAGTCGACCGCGGTTCGCGTCCCGGACCCGGTGGCTTAAACTCACACCAGGTGTGTGTGCGTGTGTGTCCAAGATCCTGAGGGGAGAGTGGAGGAGAATGGAGGAGAAGGGATTGCGGCATGGCCATCCCCCCTGGGGGGTGATTTCTCATGTTCTGTCTCTCTGTCTCTCTCTGTCTGGCGAATGCATGTGCCCTGCAGCAAAAACCTCCCCCCCCACAAAGAAAAAGAACGATGTAGCCAGCATGCCCAACACAGCCACAGCCACGCAGCTCACGTGACTGACAGCACGGCTCCTGGAATGTGCTAGGGCTCAATAAACAGCATTTACCTTCCAACACGTGCAAGGAGCTGGCCCAGGGCAGACCCGCAGGGGTGCTGTGGGGCACAGATGCCGCAGGAGAGGTCACCCACCTTCCTCCCGTCGACGCTGCTCTCGCCACCCGTGAATGCCAGCTTCCGGCGCACATAGAACAGCATGTCATCCTGCCGGGGGGCACACTTCTCCATGAAGTAGGTGGAGAACATCCAGGTCCAGAAGACAATGCGGTCATCCTTGAAGCACCCTGCAGGGAGGCAGAGGGGCGTGAAGGCCAGGACCCACCCCCCACAGCTGGCAGAAACCCCTCAGGGCTCTGACTGCTCTGCCTCTCCCCTCCCAGCCTCCCCATGGGCATAGAGGGACACTCCCAGGAGGGACAGCTCCTCTGCCCAGCAGCAGGAGAGCCGGGCTCCTAGTCCCTCAGCTGAGCCAACTCCAGCCCGTGGATGAATCAGCAGCTGCAGTGGAAAATGAAAACCTAACGAGACGAGACGTCACAGCTGGCTGTCTGGCAGGGAGCTGGGGAGGCTGTGCAGCGGGATATCCTTCAGGAAGGCACTCCCTCCCGCACAGCCCTCTCCCCCCTCCTAGGGTGCGGCAATTCCCCTGGAGAATCCGACTTAAAGGAGCAGCCTTGCTGGACTGGCTGGTCTCAGCTGCAGGCAGGAGCCAAGCGTGTAGGAGGCACGGCCCGCCCTCACCCCTGCAGGCTGCAGGACCCGGAGCACGCCAGGTTTGGTCTTGTTTGGTCCTCGCAGGGATTTTCTTTGTATCATACGTGGTATTTCTTTATGATAAATATTTATAACCTTTTCCTTTTTTTTTTCTTTCTTTTTTTTTTTTTTTGAGAGGTTTTTGCTATAGGACGCGTGTGCTTGCCAGACAGAGAGAGACAGAGAGATAGAAAGCAGGAAATCACCCCCCGGGGGGATGGCCACGTCGCAATCCCTTCTCCTCCATTCTCCTCTCGGGATCTTGGGCACGCACGCACATGCACCCGGCGTGAGTTTAAGCCACCGGGTCCAGGACGCAAACCGCAGTCGACTACGTGGGAGTCCAGCGACATAGCCATTACGCTAACTGCTGGTCCCTACCTTTTCCTACATAAGGAGAAAAACCCCCGGGCTTTCGTAGGGGAGATCTGGTCTCATTTAGCCCTGCCACTGACTATGGACAACGGGCAGGAGACTGCTCCTGAGTGACAGGTCCCACACGACAAACCATGGTGGCGTGGACAGAGCCCCTGCTGGGGCATGAGCATGATCCAGAGCCACTCAGCGCAAGTCCAGAAGATGCCAACGAGCTCACTCCTGCTCCTCTCCCCACCCGCCACTGACCACCACGACCAAGTCCCAGTTCTCTCGGGAAGGACCCGGTCCCCACCCTCAGATGAGGAGCCTGGGGGCAGCCACGTGCTGGAGCCCTCCCAGGCAGCTCAGTGGCCCAGCCAGGACTCCTCCACTGCCTGACCCCCAGAGTCCAATCCCCTCTTCCAGTCACAATTTATGATTATTTGTATTGTTACTTTCTTTTAATTGACACACAATAACTACATATTTATGAGGTCCAGTGCCATTTTTAAAATGAATTATTTTAACTTTGTTTATTTATTATTTATTCATTTGTTTATTTCAGTTTGACCAGAGAGGGACAGAGTGAGAGAGAAAGTGAGAAAGCAAGCCACCAGATCCGGGACTCGAACCACAGTCGGCCGTGTGGGAATCCAGCACCTTTAACCACCACGCCACCTGCTGGCCCCCCATTTTTTGATACACGAATACAAAGTGTGATGATTAAATCAGGGATGATTAGCATACCTAGCTCTGCAAACATTTATCACTACTTTGTGTCAGGAACACCCAAAACCCTCTCTTCTGGCTATTTTGAAATACACAACACATTCCGGGAAGGTGCAGGCACCCTGCTGTGCACAGGTCACTGTAACAAATTCCACATCTGTAAGGACGTCTCCCCCTCTCCCACCCCTGCCCAGCCTCCAGCAGCCACCATCCTACTCCCCCCTTCTGCAGAGAGAGCCAAAGGAAGTCGCTGCGGACGGGAGGTCCGCACACCACGTTTTGTGACGGCGTCCACCACGGTAGCCAAGACAGGGAATCTGCCTCAGTGGCCGCCAGCTCTAAGGGCACAAGACAGTGACACACAGAGACTACACGTGCACACACACACACACACACACACACACACACACACTAGAGAGGGACACAAATACACAGAGAAAAATACACAGCTGCACACATACACAGATTGCATAGCTATCTAGATAATGCTCAGCCACTAAAAAGAATGAAACCCAGCCTTTGCTTGCTTCAGCCACACCCTAGCCAGAGCCAGGGGTTGAGACCAGCCCCTGCCCTTGGCCCTTTGCCCTCTGCCCATCAGCGAGCCCGCCCAGACCACACCCAGTTGGCTCCTGGACACTCAGGCACTGAGCAGGGGGTTTCCTGGGTGAGGGGTCTGGGTCAGGGAGCCCAGTCAGCCTGAGAGGTGGGGCCGGGAGAGCTGGGGACTGGCAGGACTCCGCAGGCCCACAGGCACCTGTAGGAACCAACCCACCCCACCTGCTGTCTACGCATCACTTTGCCCTGTCATTTTTGTTTGTTAGGTTTTGACCATAGGGTGCTTATGTTCGCCAGAGGGAGGGACAGTGAGTAATCACCTTCTGGGGGGATGGCCACACCACAATCCCTTCTCCTCCACTGGAGTGCACACACACATGCCTGGTGTGATTTTCAAGCACTGGGTCCAGGACTTGAACATGGTCAGCTACATGGGAGTCCAGTGCCTTAATCACCACGCCCCCTACTGCCCCATCCTCCTTTGCAGCAAACAATGCCTGACTTTCGCCTACAGACCTCCATGAGCCACGCAAAGGTGGTGCTATGGCTATTTCCGGATACAACGCAGCTTTCCTTACTGTCCCTGAACACTGTCACTTTTATTGGGTCATCAGAAAAGTCATGGCCTATTTTTCTAGGGAAAAGTGCATCAAGACTTTCCCACCCACACAATCACTCCCCTTAGAGCCCAGCAGAAGGCCTCTGACTGCCTGCCCAATGGCTTACAGATGCCTCTCTGGCTATGACACACAGGGGGCGTGACTCTAACTCCCACCACCTGCCGGGGCAGGCAAGGGTACTGTGAGCACCTCTCCGCCTTTCGTGCCGCCCTGCTGGGTGGCTGCTGTATCCCCTTCTGTGTCCCAGCTTCTGAGGACAGAACCAGCAGACAGGAAGCCACCGGCACCCGAGACCTGACGTGGAGGGGGCCAGAGCACCGATCCTCTGCCCTCATGTGCAACACGGAGCAGGCCCGCACGTCTGCCCTGGGAAAAGGAGAGCTTTTAAATGATTTAATAAAAGTGGTCTGGTAGTGGTACCTAGGTGCCCAGAGGGTGGCAATGTTAGCAAATACGACAACAAGGACAGCGCCATCAGTTCCCAATGAAGCCATCTGTCCCATGCCGAGCAATGCCCGGGAGTCTCTGCCGATCACCTCACCAGCTTCTCACCATCACTCTGCCACACTCCCTGGCTCACAGAGGAATTAAACGGATGCGCAAGAGAAGAAAGAAAGGGCCCAGGTCACAGAGCTGAAACACATTCCCCAGATCTGCCAGGTTTTTCCTCCTTGGAAAATCTGGGAAGGTGGAGCGGGCAAGCCGGCCTTGGGTAATCGCCGGAGACGGCAACTGGCGGGAACCCACCTGCTGTCCACCTTTCTCCGTGCCAGCCAGCACCTGGACCCCCACGGCCCAGGCAAGGAACCCATTCCCCACTTTGTAATGGAGCAAAACCGCACTTCCCTTGGGCCCAGCCAGCATGGACTCCCAGCAGGAGGGCTTGGCAAGCACAGCTCCAGGCCCACCTAGCACCACCACCCTCAACAGGCACGGCCAGGGCCGAGGGCCATGGTGACAGGCCCAGTGCTAATCCCACCCATATGCACTCCCAGGTAGACTCACAGCAGCCTCATGCTTGAGGCAGGCCAACTGATGCCACCACTGTCACCCTCTCCAAGCTCGGGCACTGCCACTGGGACACACCCAGAGCTGGGGGGGTCTGTTGTTTAGAAGGCCCCTCCTGCTCCAGCCTTCAAATTGTACCATGGAATCTAGATAAAACCCCGAGTTTCCGCGTGCTGCCCCTGCTGCCCCCACCGCATGGCCGCCTGCCCCGCTCAGGGTGCTCGGATGCCTGTCCCTCCTCTGCCTGGACTCCCCTCCTCGGATTTTGGTTCCAGTTTCAGTGCCTTCTGCAGAAGCCCTTCCTGACCCCCAGCAAATGTGCCCAGGTCCTCCCTGTGACCTCACCTGCTCTGCCTCCACCACAACCTCAGCCCTCCTGGTGCCTGTGTCCATGTGCTGTCTGTCCCCTCTTGGGACAGCATCCCTAGAGAGGGGACTTTGTCCTGATCACCACTAGGTCAGCAGGAGGCACCGTGGCTCAGGCATGTGGGCAGAGTAGGGTCAGCCCCATTAACAGGAAACAATCTCGGGGCTGGGGGTGGGGTAGCCCAGCACGTTCAGGCCACAGCAAGGAGGGGTCCAGTCAGGATGGCCCAGAGTGAGAGGAGGACTTCCTCTTATCGTCACCTCTGACTCCCCTGATGCGAGCTCTACCAAAGATGCCCCAATTGTCCCCAGGCTCAAAGCCACCACTCACAGTGGCAGACCTTGCTGGGCTGCCAGGAGCCAGCGGGCCTACTGTGTGTTGAGCAGGTGCAGACGGGAGAGGGAAGGGGAAGCCCCAGCCCTCTGGACCACCTGCTGTCACTGAGCACCAGGCACATGCAACCCAGGAGATGCTGCAGCCACCACCTCTGACAGGACCAGGGTCCTGATGATGGCTGTGAGCTGGGGAATACTACACTGTGTCATTCACGCTGCTGGTCAGCACCACTGTGACAACCCGTGGGAAGAAGCTCACAGTCTGCTGGGGAGACATGCACATGTGCACACGCGCACACACGCCTCCCTCGCTCTGACACACACATATGCACAGGCATGCACGCACACACACCCCTCACTCTGACGCAAACATGTGCCCAAGCACACACACCTCCCTCACTCTGACACACACGTGCACGAGCACACACACCTCCTTCACTTGGACATGCACACATGCACACGCATACACACTTCCCTCACTCTGACACGCACATGTGCACGTGCATGAACACACACACCTCCCTTACTCTGACATGCACATGTGCACACACATGCGCACACATACCCCCTTCACTCTGGCACACACGTGTGAACACGCGTGCACATACACCTTCCTCACTATGACACACACATGTGCACCTGCATACACACCTCCCCCACTCTGGCATGCACATATGCACACACACCTCTCTTACTGACACACACATGTGCACACGCATGCACACACCTCCCTTGCTGACACACATGTGCACACGCTCACACCTCCCTTACTTTGACACACACGTGTGTACACGCACGCACGCACACACACCTCCCTCACTCTGAGTCAAGGCAGAAGGCCCATCATGGAGGTGTGGGGGAGGTATTCAGGGAGAAAGAACCAGAGTGTCCCAGAGAGGGTGGGCTGAGACACTGGCAGGGCAGTCACCACAGTGTCCCCGCACCTGGGACACTCGCAGAGCAGGTCAGCCAGCGCTATGGTGATGAGACACCTGGATCCTGCTTGGCCGACTGCGAAGTTCAAGTCTCAGGCCTGGCGGCTTGAAAACAGGCCAGGTATGTGCATGCATGTGCCCCAAATCCTAAAAGGACAGGGCTGATGGCATGGCCGTCCCCACAGGGCGCTTTCCCACTCTCTCTCTTTCGCACACGCACGTGCTCTGTGGCAAAGTAATGAAATAGAAGGCCCGGAGGAAACGGCCAGGAGTGCTCGCATGGAGACGTCCCCGGCACACAAAGGCTTCGCACTGCACAAGCCACAGAGACAACACAGAGGGCCCCAGGAGAGGGTCAGGTAACAGGCCCCCAGGCAAATAAAGCCATGGACAAACATCGACCTCACGAGTATCCAGAATTTGAAGTAAAAGACCAAGTCGACGTTTTTAAAGTTTATTCGCTTTCTTCCATGAGAGAGAGAGAGAGAGGAACCACAATGGGGCCTCAACACCACCCGGCCAGCCTCACCAGCCCGACCACAGGCAAGGGCATGCACATGCACAGGGGAGACCCTGGGGCACGGCCCCGTGTGGGTGCAACATCATAGGGCACTGTGCTACCAACCAGCTGCCAGGGTGCCATCTCCGGGACGGCAACTTTGGTCTTAAAAAATGCCATTTAGAAGGCTGGCAGGCGGTGAGGTGGTTGAGGCGCTAGACTCCCACATGGTTGATTGGTTTGAGTCTCAGACCTGGAAGCTTGTTTTCTCACTTTCCATCTCTCTCTCTCTCTCTCTCTGTCTCTCTGGTTAAAATAATAATAATAGTGATAAATAAAATTAAGTAAATAATTATTTTAAAAATCACGCTACTTAGAAAAATTGTCAGATTCTTAAAAAGTTAACATGTACTTAGCCCCACAGCTCAGCCAATGTCGAGGGAAATGACGCTGAGTCCACATGGCGTGGACAGAGACACTCGACGGTTCACAGATGCTTTTCATGTTACCCAAACCGGAAATCAGGAGAACGCACACAGAGATGCAGGAGGGCCATTCGGTAGAACACTACTCACCAAAAACCCACTTCAGTCTACACGGTACAGCAGTGACTCCCAATCAGCACGCAGAGCAAAGAAGTCGGGTGTGAAGGTGACACACTGCTCACACTCGCGATGTTTCAGACAAGGCAAGACCACGAGACCGAAGTGTGGCTGCACCAAATGCCCCGATGCTGATGGTGGGGGTGTCTTCATCGGTACACACGGCCCTCAAACCTCACCAAATTGCTCACTCTGCACGGACACGGTCTCTTTTACATCAGCGACACTCCGGGAAGGCAGCGGGAGTGATCGCAGGCGATACCGGCACGGGTGCGCTGAACTGGCTCTTACAAACACTGGGGAACAAAGACCGTTATAACTCTGGAAAAAGCAAGCGAGCAGTCCCCTACTCCTAGGAATCCACTCTACGGAAGAGAAATACTGCACGCAAAAGTTAAAGCCCTGTGTACAAAAATGTTCTCTGCATTGTGAGCAGATAATATAATAGCCACAACAACAAGAAAGAAAAAACACGACGATTCTCAATTACTGACATTTAAGCTGGGTAAATTCTGCTGAATGCACGAAGGCAAATCTTCACCAGCTTTCTAAAAGGATGGCTCTGACGCCTACATGCAGACCACGGAAATGCGTGTGCTCCGACACTGAGGGAGGAAGCAGAACCCAAAGTGCAGACGCACCGACGGCAACTATAAGTCACAGGGAAACGCTAGAAGAAAATGCACCAGTGTGAAAGGAGCTGCTGAATTTAAAAGGACATGCTCTTTCTTTTTGACTTAATATATGCGATAATGAGATTATACTATTGGGCCTATAGTGTACAAATTTTAATGTCATAGTTTCATTCAAGAACGTGAATGAGGGGAGAAGAGATTCCCTTTCTTCAGAGGGAGGAGAAAACACAGAGAGACCTTCTGCATTTAAGAGCCAGGACAAGTCAGGCTGGAGTGAGTTGTTTTTTGTTTTAAGAGAAATTTTTGCAATAGGGTACAGCGCTCACTAGAGAGACAGAGAAACAGACAGTGAGAAATCACCCCCGGGGGATGGCTGTGCTGTAATTCCTTCTCCTCCATTCTACTCTTGGGATCTTGGGCATGCACACACGTGTGCCTGACGTGAGTTTTAAGCTGCCGGGTCTGGGAATCAAACCGTAGCCGACTACGTAGGAGTCTACCAACATGACTGTTATGCTACCTGCTGGTCCCTGGAGTGAGACTTCTGAGCCCTGAGGGCCAAGTGAAGGTTAGGTTGCAGTCAAGCAGACAAGAAATCAGGTCCTGCCTCTACCCACCCTACCGGGAGGCCAGTTCACCTCCTGAGCCTGTGACCACATCTGTCAGATGGGTCTAACCTGCTCTCTTCCTGGAAGGAACGGTGTGGCTGGGGAAAGAGGCCAACAGTCTTGGAAGCTGTGACATCCCACCCACATGTAGGCTCTGGGGACCCTCTGCTCTGCCAGCTCTGCCAGTCTCCGTACTGAGTCCCAGACATGCCGGTGTCCATTGGTCACATGGTACAGCAATCGTGTATGCATAAACGCACGAGGAGCAACCAGGCCCTCCCGCGGCTGTGAGGTCACTGCTGTCTGTTTCTCCCATAGGTAAGCTCCCACTCCCATCATCCTTCCCCAAGGCCTGCCAGCGAGAGGTCCCCTGAGTCACCAGCCCTGGGAGC